TTTCCCCTCACTTCTTGCATTGTTCTTGGTGTTGGTGTTCCCTGCCAACTGCTCCCCCAGATTTTCAAGACTCTTCATATATTCTTAAGAGTCCAAGCAGCTGATATTTTGGGGATTGGGCCATGAATCGACCCCAAACAAGAGATTTATGTCACTCTATTGTATGCTTCTGGGTGTATACAGAAGCATACAGATGCATAACCCTGCTTAGCTTCTAGAATCAGATGAGATCACTTGTATTCAGGGTGAACTAGTGGCACCACGACAGGGAGTTGCTGATGGCCGTACCAACCTCTGTACAGCAGCCATTAGAGCCTTCCTGAGCAGCAGCAGGCTTTCTAGTTTTGATTTTGGGGAAGCAAACTTACTTCACTAAGGCATGAGGTTCCACGGGGCTCAGCGAGTCGTACACCTTGACGAAGTCATCCCCCGTATGGCACTGTTCCACATCGAAGGTGGTGAAGGTCAGGCTCAGGACCGAGTCCGCATCACCTCTCAGCACCCAAAGACAACGTGCGTTGGAAGGATAAGGACTGTTGGGGAAGCCTGGAGTACTGAAGCTTGTGATCACGCCTTCTTTAGCATGCAAGGCATAGCGACAACTGTCTACAGAGGAGAAAGGGAAACAAACAACAAGCAAACAAAGAGGAAGGTCTCAAAATGAAGAATGCCAAATCATATTAGATTGACTAAGCAGATAAATCAAAAAAGCAGCTGATGGCACATCCCAAAAAATTGCAACAGCGCAGAAGTATCTCCTAAAAATGCAAGAGATGGATCTATCAGTCCCTATTGACTAGATCCAATGTTTTTAGGAATGAGCTTTTCACTCAGTGATCGAGACAGGCACGAACCAACAATTAGGCAGTTCGTGCCCATCTCTAGTCAGCAACAACCTGTTATCTTTTTTTTAAACATGACTTGTTCCAAAATGAAACCTCAAGCCCATCCATTCCTACCTAGCAGCCGACCCTTTAAATGGAAAAGCAAGCAAAGGAGGTCTTGAGAAACCGCTCCACCAACAAACCAGAATCAGAGAGTGGCAAGGGGGTGAACCCTTGGGGCAAAGTTTTCATGGAAGCTTGAGATTCAGACGTCTTAAATTTCAAAACCTCATGTTTGAATTTAGCCTTCGAGACTCAACATTTCTTGAAAGTTTCTCCCTCTGTAAGCACCAAATTACAGAGCATTTTCAGTCTGGTTACTGCTGTCGTCCCCTCTTTTACAGGTCTACTCAAAAAGCTGGCCTAACCGAGTTCCATGAGAGCTACTTCCCCCTAAATAGGTATAGGTTTGCCGTTTTGGAATAGCCTCTTGTCCCTGAAATAGATCCTCCTAAGAATCCCAGAAAAGAGGGAAGGACCAGACCTGCCTGGTGCAGGCTAGCTGACGATTTATCAGTGTTAGAACCAAACTTTACTTACTATCCCACGAAGTTTTCATTATATCTGGATCAGAAGCTGCAAAACAGAAACACAAATATTAGGGAGGGAAACTACTTTTTATGTGCCTCATGTGGGGGAATCCCTGCCTGTCTGCATTCGGATGAGACAATGACGAGGAGGGGTGTCTCCTCCCAACCCGTTCATGAGACTCCGTGCCAACGTTCCGACCACAACTAAAACGAATCATCACAACCAGGTTGAAGATGTTTCAGGAAGGAAGCAGAAGCTAAGTCCTGACAAAGAGTTAGAACTTCTTTCTACCAAAGAACAGTGAGGGCTTCAGACTATGCAACACAGGTGGGCGGTGGTTAGAAGCAGGAACCTTTTAAGTGCCGAAAAGCATCTGAATGTCACAGTATGAGCTTCTCAGACCTCCTATAGCTTCCAGTTAGCCTGCCTTGTGTCTGGTCATCAGGAGATAAACCTGGGCTTCAACTGCATGTATGACTGATGGGAATCCCACCAGACCCCCATCCTAGGGGTCTGGCAGCTGAGGAGTCCCCTAGCAAAAATTCCACAGGTTCCAGTCCAGTTGGGTCACTCACAGCAGCTTCAAGGCCACAGTCAGCCACTAGTGCCCCTTCCCTCACATTCCCAGGGAGCTGGCTTTCCAACTCTAGGCACAGTCAATCCGGC